TATGATATACGTAATATTTTTTATGTTGCAGTCAAATTTTATGTAATTAGTCTAATTCTATTAATATAAAATATAAAAAACCTATTTTAATCCTTTTAAACTCATAAATCAATTATTTTGGTAGTCTTTTTTTCAAAAATATGTGCCTTGGTTATTAATATGTCGAACGCGTTTTGGAATTACTTCAACATAATGCTCTATTGATTCTATTTATTTTTTTGTTGTCTTCGTTGGTTTTGTCTTTGAAGTAAAAACTCAAGCGTATTTATAATGATATTCCCATAAATCATTGTAACATAAATATGATTTACTATATCTCATGATTGATTTTATTGCATTGATACCAAAAATAAAATTGAAAAATAATTATACATGGGTAACTAGGTAATTTTAGTATAGTCGTAATATTATATGTAATTTATCAACGTAATCTACTATCAAAGGTGACCGTAAAATCATGGAACAATCGAAATTACAACGAGATACATTGTGCATGGCATATAGAATACATGTTGTATTATACACAACATATTTTTTGAACTTTACAAAGAATGAAAAGGTTTCAAAATTCCTATATTATTATTTTGGAATTTCTCTGTCTTTGGATAATCTCGTGTTTTCCCCAAATCCCCAACGCAAGCAGTCCTGTTATAAGCCAACAAAGTGCTCCCTTTATCAGTTTTATGGATCGTTGTCTATATTACGTTCATTATGCAAGTCAGCCTTAAGTAACTATTTTCGTGTCCATTAAAATATATCCATATTGAAATCATTGCTTTAAAATGTAGGACAATTTATTCCGTTAATTTTTTTGGCACAAAACTGCTGATCTTAAAATTTAGATTAAGGAAATTTGATAGTGATTTTTACAAAACAACAAATGATTTATTATAAAAGCTTGCCACTTGAAAAAAAAATTTAAAAAATATTATATTGTAAAATCAAATTTTCGATATTTCCATTGATGAAATTAAAATAATAACCATCTTATTAATGTTGAGATTTAGCATTAACGCCAAAGATCCTTATTTTCGATTTTTAAATTCTATCTACCAAAATGTATCAAGGCAACATACTGTAAATGAAAATGAGTCCTAAGCTAACCGTATGTAACAATTGGACTGACAGAATTCGCACATTCAAAATCAAGTCTCCTGGGCAAGCAATTGACTTATAACGTTTTTAACTATTATTAAAAGGAAATTTTAACAATTGGCAAATGAAATTCCTTTAAGGAAATGCGTTCCACTTTCTTCTTCACCAACACTTTTCATCCCACGTGATTTTTATCTGCATTACTGAACTTGGCGAAATTATCCGAATTACAAATAAGGTGACAAATACACTGAAAAAATTCTGTCCCTAGGATACATAGTAAAAATGAAAAAACGTAAGGAGTGACACGGGGGACAAATTATATAGGGTTACGTGGGTGAAAAAAAAGTTGGGAAGATACTTTCTTTCCGCACCTCACGTGATAAATTATGCCCCTTGGGAAAGATAGTGATCATCTAATTTCGGAAGGATACTGTAACTTTATCACCCTGATCTTGTTTGAGATCTTCTCATTCTCTCCTCTTGAAATGTCCCACCGTAATTACACTCCTTGAAGAACTTATAAAATTGACTTTTGGATTTTCAATTCAATTAAATTGATTTATTAAAACAAGCAACAAATTTAGAAATCATTCGATAAATATAAAAACCATTAGAAAGATAAAAAATTGGATGATTTGGTATTTTCTTGGGTGGACAAACTTGAACAAATTAATTCTCAGAATTACAAGATTTTTACATGAATCCTTTACAATAATTACTTTATCTTAAATCTTGTCAACATAAAAAACAGCAACAAAACAATAATAATGTGATTTTATCGTTAATAATTTTACTTAGTTTTCAATATATAAATAAAGCTTTTATGCATTGCTGCCGTCAAATCAAAACGTTCGTAAATAATAAAAAAAGAAAATTTCCATAATTTAAATATATTAAACGATATATAATATTTGTTTATTAGCAAATTTTTTTTTTTTTACACGCGCTAATAATATATGTATCAAGTTAAAAATAAAGATTTTTCTCATGAATGTACTTTAAGTTCTTAGATCTTCACTGCAATATACTGAACTGACTACCGTTTTTTTGTTGACATTGTTCGAAAATCACTTTTACAAGAATTTTAAAATGCAAATAAGATCACAATTACCACGATTCCATAATACATCATAATGAAAATAATGTTTTACAAAATGTCTGCCCGTCCGTCACATGTTGGATGTCAGTGCACAATAATTCATTCACACGCAGCCTTTTCAATGCAAATCGGTCTAAACTTAATTCGTTAAACAATGAGCCCGAAACGTTAAAAACGTTACCAAAGTATGTATGATAACGAACCTTAAAGAATAAGATGATAATATAAATCAATAAAAAGATTTTTGTAAAATATGAAGTCCGTTAATAAAAAAAAAAGACCCCGGAATGATTGAAAAGGAATATAAGATAGTGTACGCAGAAAATGCAGTTAAATTTTTTGGTCGGCACAGTCATAATTTTAATTTAGATATGTTGCAACTAGTGCTCCGAGCCGGTCGAGTCGACCCGGGTTGTTCGACCCGACTCGAATTTTTTCTCGAGTCGGTTTTATCATTTTTATGACACGAGTCCTAATTCGATAAAACCCGTCGGGTCAGGATCACGTTTTTCCTTGACCCGGGTGACCCGGGTTGATCGAGTCGAATCCGAGTCGAACAATGATCGGGTCGAGTCGAATCTCGGGTTCTGTAATTATTAACGGGTTCGAGTTCGAATATGCTTCAAACCCGACCCGATGCGACCCTTACGGATCACTCAACGTACGAGTCTTTGTTGAATATTTTTAATAAAAATTTATTTGTTCATTAATAATAATTTTTTTTTTATTTTTACATAAATTTCTAGTAAACAGTAATAATACGAATAGCAAATAATTTTTATCTTTAAGAATGCGGCGATTTCGAAAGTACATTAAATTTTCGAAAATACACCCTATAGATATATTAAAAAAATCATTTACAGAGATCACATACTTGAGATTGACTAGCTTGTGAGTATATAAAGAGAATGCATTTATCGAGAGCTTATAAAAGCATACTTGCTAAATATGGTAACAAAAAATTTATCTCGAGTATAAATACACACGCCATGTATTATCAGTTATTATACACTTAGTTTCAAATTCATTCATAAACCGATTACTCCAACTCAAATATTACCCTAAGATTCTTGGTAATGTACATAAGGCCGGCAAAAAAAATTTTTAGATTCTCGTGATCGGCCGCCAAAATTCACGAAATTTTTTTTTTTTTTATAGTAAAATACTTTATAAAGAAAATTATAATAGCGTATACTTTATTTATATATAATAAATTTCAAACATATTTTCGCGATTTTTCGTTACTCGATACTTGGTATCCTTACCAAGTTTTTTCTTGCTTGAAACTGTTATATTAGGTTTAGAATCATTTATTCGTTCGGCGACATTACAGGCTGTCATTTTGATTATCTCAATAAAAAGCCTTTTAAAAAAATTTTTTTTATACAAAATTAGTTAGTTAATGACGCGTAATTAGGGATGCTAATGATGACCGTGACCGGTGTTATAAGAAATCGGCATTTACGAATAGCACAGTAACTGCGATAAAATAACGAAAATGTTAAAATATCAAAAATAATTATTAAATCAATTATGTTTGTTATATGTATACTAAAATAATTATGCTAAAATAATTATATTATTTTTCGTTTTATATATTATTTTTTTATAAATTTTTATAATTTTTAGTTATAAATTTAGTTGGTATTTTCGTTTTATTAATTATTTCTATATATTCGCTACATCGTTATTTTATTTTAAAATGGAAAAAATGTTGTTTTTTAGAATTTTGTATATAAACCTCAAAAATCCGCCTTGATTAAAGAATAAGATTGACGAGTCTCGGGAAAGACCTCAGAAATCTTGAAGTTTAATAAAATTCTATTTTTATACTTTCAAACCTTTATCGTGACTCCATATAGTATAATAAACAACTACACAAAGAAAAGTATTAATAAAAAAGTTAAATAAATCTTTCTTAGGACGGGCCTGAGTTAGATTTAGATCCTTTGTTGGTTAATCTGTTTTCAGTTCAAAATCAGGTTAACAGCGGTTTTGACCGATTTTTGACCGACCGAAGTTTATTCATCATATAATATAATCCCAATCCCAATCTAACTTTCTAACGGTCAAATTTTGACGTATTCAGTCCGATACTAAGATAAAATATAAATCTCGTTTAATCCTTTCAAACTCATAAATCAGTTGTTAGCCTTTCTTCCAAGATCCTTGTTAACATATTAACAAATACTATCAATGCTAAATTAGTTACCATAGTATCAGTATGGCATCTGGAAGGACTTTTTTTTTATCTCACTGATCTTTTTAATTATCTTTCAAATTTTGAACGGGAGGACAGCGGGACATTTTTTTAATCTGAAATTAGAGCAAAGATAACATTGATTGACTATGAGATCTATAATCAACATTCTAAATTTTTTTGAAAAAATTTGAATATTTCACTATGATTATATTTATGCCATTATAATTTTTAAATTTTAAGCTTTTGTGTTTATTTATTTTCTTTTTAACTAAAAGAATAGTTTTTCACGAAAATAATTTGTTATATCAATTATCTAACATCTTTATTATCACATTTTTAATTGTATTAATCAATTGTGATTTACCAATTAAAATCCGATTCTGAGAAGATTTATGCTGAGTCAAATTTTCAATTGAATAGGTAATTTATAAATAATTTATCAATGGTCATTTGATCATTTATTTACATAATATTGATAAATGTGCAGTTTGTCGATCCTAAAATTTAAAATATAAAAGCGGCACAAAAACACTTCATCGATAACAAAAAAAAAATAAATATTTCAATTAATTTAACAAATCAATTATTATATTATTCAAAATGGAACCTAATAATCCTTCACAAAATAACAATGATAATGTTTATCCATCAAATATAAATTGCAACTATAATCAACCCATGATGAACAATAATAATAGTTCAATGCCTTATGGAGATGCTAATTCACATTTTCAACCATCTATGGCCAACTCTAATGCTTCAGCTCAATCGCACCCTTCGACATATGCCTCACATACTGGTCATGCTAATGCCAATCCACCGCTATCCGCAAACTATATTCCTAACCCTAGCCTTCTCCAACCAAGTCATAACATCCTTTGTTTTGACATTCCTGGCTTTAAGATTATTATCATTCCTGTAGACAATTCTATTTCAAATAATATTAATAATAACTCTCAAGCTCAATTTCAACAATCATTTAATAATTATAATAATTTTAGTGGCTAACCGCGAATAGCTCATTTGGGAGCGTTGCCAGTAAATCAAAATTCGATTTGCTATGTATCATAATTCGATTTTACTGGTTGTATTTCTTTATATTATTTATAAAAAGATATACTTTTTATATTTCTCGTAAAGTTGTATTTTCTATCTTGTGTCTTATTATTTATCTCTTTCTTAGTTTATTTTATTTTTGATTACATCCTAAAATATTAATTAGAATTTATATAAGAATAATCAAAATATTGAAAAGTAAATACTTCGGTAGTAATAGATGACGATTCAAGAGTAATTAATTTTTAAATAAATAAATAAATCTTTTGCTTAATTATCAATATAAAGACACTATACGCGATAGCTTAAAGTTTTACCGAGAATGCTGATGTAGTAATATATATTATTATCAATATATAGTATAAATAAAGTAGCACGGTACCGTCGAAACTATAAGTGTCGAAAATATAATAAATCTCGAAAGTCGAAATCGAAAATTAAGGTTTTGAAATTTTCCAATTGCTAAAATAAGTTTTACCCGCAGCTATATAGCACCTATGAAGAGCAGAATAAAGTTTAAAGTATAATCAAATTGTTATGATATTTCCAAAACATGAATCACTATTTATTATTTAAAAGTCTATTAGTTGCAAAAACGATAAAACTTTTTACAGCTCGAATTTGTACGTTTACCGATTTGTCTATATACAAAATTCTTTTATCATTTTTTTTTTTTTTTTTTTTTTAAAAAAAATTTAACTTAAATATAAATAAAAA